TAGGTAAGTTACAAAGGATATAGTGAGAAAAAAAGAGTGTTACAATGACAGAGATAACTCTAAAGAATGTGAAAGTTGTCTTTGAACTCTTTAAAATTATATTGTCTTAGTTACAAATATTTCATATTCCATTGTTAAAAAAAAGTTAAAGATCTGTACTCTTTTATCCACCATGTTTGGGATATTTTCCACTAGATCTTGAAGAAATACTCTGAAAAGAAAAGTCCACTGGCAGATAAATTACAGATATCTATATAAATAAATTTGAAATTTGATATTTACATGTTCAACAATATTTCATTTTTCAAAATCAATTGTATTGGTCAACAAGAAAAACCCATAAACATGATAAATACTTCTGTAGTAAATGTTGAATATTGTTTAAATGTTTTTGTCATCCTTCAGAAGTTTTGGCCTTATCATGTCACATAAATGTTGTCTTTGCTACCATCTCCTGTAGACATTAATGTTAAGCATTTCTGTATTTGATTGTGAATTGGTCATGTTGGAAATACTGAGTTTAAATGTCACAGTAAACTGTTGAATTGAAGACATTATTCCCTGAAAAATGACATTTTCACAAATGCTTTCTTAGACTGAACAAACAAAAACAAAACTAAAAACAACATGCACATTGGAATGAGAATGTAAACAATGCAAAATTGAAATTAGAGTTCATGTGCAAGCCTTTCTATAATAAACAAAAGACAGTTGAACTTCGGTATCTCGAACATGGATATCTTGAATACCATGGATATGTCATTATGAAGTTATTTTGAAGTTCCAACTACTTATTCCTTAAGTATTTTTCCCAGGATATCTTGAATTCTTTGTTATCTCAAAGTATTTTCTGGGTCCCTTTGAGTTCAAGAGAACGAGGTTTGACTGTATAGTTCAATGAATAATATCTGATCCCTCATGAAGAAGTGGTGCAAAGCATATCAACTTTCAGTATCCCACCAAGGAGTCCTGTGGTAGATGCTACTTAGTGAATGAATCATTAAGAGACTTTTTTTATTGGAGTACTGTATAACAGTTTTACAGAATATTGATTATGGAAGAGTTCATTCTTTTAAATGCTTTGCTGCATGCCATTCTGATTTATGAGTGATCTATAATGTTCTCGTTGACAGAAAATATGGTGTTTAAAAGGTTGTGGAGGATAACAAAATATGGAGCCCTTGGAGGGGCCATAGGAGGAACAGGTTATCTATTACAGAAGAATGACTGGGATATATCAACCATTGGAGTGGTCAGATTTGGCCGAGCAGCATGGGCAGTAAGTTTAGATAATGTGTCGTGACTTTGTTCAACCAGTTTAATTTTAAATGTTATTTCAATGGTTAAATGAATTTTATTGTATTCATCTGTCTTTCTATGATCTATATGTTTCTTTCTCAGTACCATAAGTTTAAATAATGTGTTGTGGTGAGCTTTGCAATTTTTTAAGTACATGTATTTAACCATTGAGAATAAGTAGTGTGGGTATAATTATTAAACATGTTAAAAAAGATGAAATGAAGCATTTCAGTGTTTTGTAAATTTTACTTACACAGGCAGTGAGACTAGTAGCAGATTATAAGATTAATCTAAGGGGACTGGACTATGATTCTCCAGAATACCAGAAAGTCAAATCAGAGGTAATATAAATCAGACACAATTGAGTCAAAATCTAAAGTCAGAGGTACTGGGAGTAAAAGGGTATAGCATGTGAGTCAAAGGTAAAGGGCTAAACTGTTTCAATTTTGATATTTGAACAGAATCAAATAAAAGGGTTAAATTGTTAATTTTTTTTATTGGAATGAAAAATTACACACTTATAATTCTTAAGAATAAATTAAAAACAAAAAAATTCTTTTATTTTCTTAAGATTCATCTGAGGTCAGCCTTGCGTTTGAGAGATATGTGCTGCATAAATGGGGGAGCTTTCATTAAAGTGGGTCAACACGTAGGGTCTCTTGAGTACCTTTTACCCAAAGAATATGTAGAAACTATGAAGGTTTTACATGATAAAGCCCCCCAGTCTGATGTGGAAGAATTGAAAAGAGTTTTTGAAGAAGATTTGAAAATGAAGGTAACTTAAAGAACAAATTTCTTTATTTATTTTTTTTTTTTTTTACAAAAAAATTTTGTACATTGTATATGCAGCTTTTTGATAAAAGTTGGTTACTGTACAAAATATATAATAAATATTTTATTGTTTTTCAAGTTTGAAAATTAAGGTATGCTTATTATCATAGGTGGAGGATGTTTTTGAGAGTTTTGAAAAGAATCCACTGGGAGCTGCTTCATTAGCACAAGTACACAAAGCGACTCTGAAAGATGGAACAGTACTCGCTGTCAAAATTCAACATCCTCAAGTCAAAAGCCATTCTTATGTAGACATCAAAACAATGGAGGTAATAAGCTAACTGAGTATTTTTAAATATGTACTATTGTTAACACTCTTGTAAACACTCTGACGGTAGTCATTTAGAGCAAGTTCTATTTTCTATTGTAGCTTCTAGTGCACTGTATTGCCTGGATTTTCCCAGGCTTTCAGTATATGTGGCTTGCTGAGGAAACCAAACGGAACCTTCCACTGGAACTGGACTTTGTCCATGAGGGACAAAACTGTGAGAGAGTAGAGAGACTTTTCAAACATTTCCGCTTTCTGAAAGTGCCCAAAATTCACTGGGAGTTGTCATCAGAGAGGGTACTGACGATGGAATTCTGTGAGGGAGGAAAAGTAGATGACAAGGCTTACATGGAGAAACATGAAATTAATGTTAATGAGGTATTTGAAAAATTTTGTTTGTGAGAATGAAGCATTACCTAGTACACATATTTATAACATTTTAGCTTTAAAAACTTTCAATTGTTTTCATGCATTGGTCACACTACCATATTATATTTAGGGGTTTATTAGTTCTTGTTTTATTACTTTCTTTAACCAATATTGAATAAATCAGATAAAGGGAACAAACTTTTATTTTGAAAGCTCTTTGATGTTTGATTATTGTTTTTCTATAAAAACAAATTTACAAGAGATTCAGATTCACTTTTAACCACATAAAGCCTGTTTTTTCAGGTTAGTAAGAATTTAGGGAAGCTGTACAGTGAGATGATATTTGTCCAGGGTTATGTACACTGTGATCCCCATCCTGGAAACGTCTTGGTGAACAAAACGGAAGATGGAACTCAGATAATTCTTCTTGACCATGGATTGTATCAGGTTCAGAGATGATTTAGATGTATGATTTATTAAATTTCATAATTTCAAAGCACTCTTTGACTTAGTCAAGTTGTTTGTCTACTTATCTGCAGTTTTATACATAATAATTCAAGTAATTTTTCCAATACATGTACTTAATTGAAAAACAAGACAGATAACATTTTTTGCAGACATTTCCAAATACTTCAGTAAACATACTGAAAATTATAGAAGCATTGAAACTTAATGTGCATCCTATTTGTTTAAATTTGTAAAGGGGATTTTCTTGTAAACATTTAGACTTTGACTGATCCATTTCGGGTGAGCTATAGTAAGCTCTGGATGTCGCTTATCAATGCTGACTTGGAGGGCATTAAGAAGTACTCAGCAGAACTGAATTGTGGTGACATGTATGGACTGTTTGCATGCATGTTAACAGCCCGCTCCTGGAAGGCCATCACTAGCGGGATAGACAAATCACAAATTACACAGTCTGAGGTATCCCCAAGAAAAATCCAGAATTTTTGTTTTGAAACATCAGTTTTTCAATATGTGAACATGTCAAATCGTTAACACACAGATGGTTTGCTCATAACCAGAGCATGCCATGGCTTTTAAAAGCATCAATTGGTTAATTTTTTTTCTTTCAAAAACAGTATATTTTGTCTAAAAAATTTGAATATTAGTGAAGTTATAGACTATATAAAACAACTAACAGCTAAGAGTGCTGGTACATTGAATGTTTTCAAATATTGCCTTGGAAAATAAACTTTATAGTGATATCAATTTACAAAAGCAGTATTAGCTCTTGAAATAATTTTAAAAAACTGTATGACTGTAGGAACTTTTCAGACATTCTAAAATTCAATTCATGTGTCTAACAAAATCAAATGCATTCAAATTTAATTGTTCTTTCCTTTCTCAGAGTGATGAAATTAAGGACAATGCTGCAACATACCTCATAGAAATCTCAGAAATACTTAACAAGATTCCTAGGGAGATGCTTCTAATTCTAAAAACCAACGACGTCCTACGTGGGATAGAGTATAGTTTGAACATTCGACCAAATGCCACTTCTTTCCTGAACATGTCTCGCTGTTGTGTACAGGCAGTGGGAGAGGACGAGTACAGACAATGCCATTCCTGGACCAGTCGGATGGCAGTACAGTTTTCTACTTCATGGCAGCTCTTGAAAATTAGCATTTATGAATTTTTCCTTTGGTTACAGTCAGAATACTCATGGTTGTTAATGAGATTGCCAAGTTAATGTTAATCAGTATTAGTTGTTTTATTTAATGTACTTTATTTATTGTTTGACAGAATTTATTAGTAGTTCTTCATTTTGTTGTTATGAACTTGTTCATAGATGTTACAGTAAGGCTTTTGGGCATGTCTAAATCAAAACTAGTTTCATGATAAGTGGTTCTAAGGCTAAATTTTGAAAACGAATTATTTTGCCTCTGGACAATAACATTAATTCCTATTGTATGTACATGTTATTAGAACATAAGTTTGCTAAATTTCTTATTGTGGTTTAAAGGCAAGAGGGGTTAATTACTCCACAATTCCAAAATGATTCTCAGAAGTTGTGTCAAATTAAATTGTACTAACAAGCCATTTCACTGGGGGAGAGGAGGGGAGATAATATTTTTCTACATCAGTTGTTCATTTAATAGTATGGCATTAAGGAAGTAGGAGGGTAGAAGTCTGTTAACAGGACAAGAACTTTGTTCATTTTCAGTGAATGTATTTATTTGATACCTCTGATTTATTGCTGCCATTCATCATATGAAAGAAAAAAAAACAAAACATTTGATTTCTTTTAATGAATAAATTGTAAAATATTTCTTATAATTTTTTTTATCCTTAACAAGTTCTCGTTGAATCTGGATATCTTGACTTCAGTTCCTCTTTGAAATCTTGGAAGAGAGCTTTATTTTCTCTATGGTCCTTCACTTTTTCCAAGTAGAATGTATTCTTTTGCTTCTGACCTTTATGAACCAGGAAAGCATTGTTCAGAACAAAAAACTTGTATCCAGCAACATACATCTCACAGATCTGGAAAAAAAAAGAAAGTACCACAAGCCATTTCATATTAATGCTGCTACAGAATCCATCCGAGACAAAGCAGTGTACATGCAATTATAGTTTGATTTTTGTTCTGATCATGTAGATACCTATCACTACACAATGTGCAGCAATCTATGTGAGTGGATCAAATGATCTCACTTTTATTTAGATTGGGACAAAACAATATTGCCAATAGACAACTTTCAAATTTACAAAAGTTATTTCCCTTTGCATGGTCAAACCGGGGTCAACCGATGTAAGACAGTTTTCCTTTATAACATTACCAACTTTATGGGGCAATGTCTTACAAATGAAATCTATTTGAATATGTTTATTATGATTTTTATGTTCCCCCATAATATGGCAATGCAGGAATGGATCAAAACTGTCCAATTCTGTTTAAAGGTTGAAAATATTTACAAGCAATTTACAAAGGATATAGTAAGAAAGAAAAAAATAAGAGTAATGCCAACAATAGGAGATAACTCATAAGAAGGTGAAAGTCGTCTATTGCTCCTATTTATAAATTGTAAAATGTGAAATTTGAACAAACATCAATATACATGTAGATTAATTTGCAAGTACCAAATACTGCAAATACATGTTAGAGAAAGTAGTGGAGATTTACTGACAGTCTTGATAAATGTTAGGATTAGACAGTGATAAAATACATGTATGTAGCATTTTACAAAAGCACAACCATCAGGTTCACTTGTGGGCAATATGTTGGAGAATGCCCTACCTGGCTGACTCTGTTGTAGCCATACTGTTTGAATCTCTCCTCATAGAGTGGTAGTAATGACTTGTGTGCAATAAAGAATGGTTCGTATGGGAGTTTCCACTGAACTTCATATGCCACTTCTAGTTTTTCACTGCTCTGGAGGGATTCCCATCTATGATAATCTGTTGCAAATTGACACCAATGGCACACATTTGCATAAAATGGATGTATATTTTTATTTTGCAAGAGCTCTTGTTTAGTGGACAGAATATGATTTTCACCTGTTTCAAATACAGGTACAATATATGCTGTCCTATCACCAACAGAACTGGAAGACAAAAGATCCCTTTGGAATGAATATAACAGATTTGCTGAAGGATATATGTCTATATCAATAGCAAGAACAAATTTGGCTGCCAATGTTTTTATGGCAAGGTTTCTAAGAATATTATGTGGGTATTTTAATTTGTCCTCAAGGACAAAGTTTTGATTAGATGATTTAGCAAAATATTCTTCAATACAGTCCACATCATGGTATGGAATCTTTGTTATGTTGGTATGGCTTGAGACAGGGAAAACTAAATGGAAAAAAACATTGAGCTGTATATGTCTGTAACATGCATATAAATTCTGAATGAGTTGAAGCGCAAAGTCAGCATCATGACTGTGTGTGAAGACTGAAACAGAGATAGGTCCCGCCCACCTCTTGCTTATTTGCACAAGGTTATGTAGATGATTGGAGGTAGTGTGGGTCACCAGAGCAAGGTCATATGAATCTGTGGGATGTTGTTTATTGCTCCCAAGAATATCAGGCACAAGGAAGTAAAACCCGCTGCTGTCAGTCTTGTAAGCGTCTCTAACTCTCTGCATTATTCCATCCCACACAGAGTTAGGGTAATTCTTTGTGTCTTTGAAATCTTCCAGTTGCCCCATGAGGTAAATGTGATAAACCTGAAGCATTATCACCAATACTACCATGAATAGGATCACTTTCTGTATACTTGGTACACATCTTGCTCTCATTATACTGGAAATACAATGATTTCATAACTTGGTACCTGAAAAGAGATAAACTGAAATGACTTGCATGCCCATTAAACAAACAATGTTTTATAATTCTTTCACAAGAAAGATGATGTAGCTGAATTCCAAAAATATTTGAAATCATGAGATCAAGTTCTGCAGACCCTATGGTGAAACTAGTACCAGATTGAGAAGTGTATTTTAAAGAATTGACAGAGTGCAACACCTTCTTGTATAATAATCTTTTAATAATGAACTTGATATTTGAATTGACACATCAAGCAATTTATATGTTGAATGAATGTACTTTTATTGAACAGTAAGTTTAGTGAACTTATCTATTGTTAATGACTTTTTATCTCTGTTTTGAATGTATAATGCATACACCTGCATCAAACAGCTGAGCTTTGATCCTACATTTTAAAAGAAGCTCAAATGCTAAAGACATATAAAAAAATCAGAAAACATCCTGAAAGCTCCATCGCAGGTAATACTCATGTATAATATGACAGAACAGGCACTTGACATTTTAAAATTTTCTTTTTATATATAAAAAAATCCTCCATGTTAAAAAAAATAACATATTATTATTTTACAGTAGCATGGAGATTTTTTTTTATCTATAAAAAAGAAGTGTTAAAAACGTCAATTGCCTGTGATTAGTGTCCCAAAGGGGTGAAAACATGACCCTTTATTTGAATAACTTTCATCAGATGAAAAGTATACAGACAGACAAACAGATCGACGCCTGACAGGTGATCAGAAAAAGCTCGCTAGTTTGTCTGTCTGTATACTTTTCACCTTTTCATCTGATCTGCTAAAAGGGATCAGGCTGTTTACTATACTAACTTGCTGAAATTAGTGGAAGGTGTAACGTTAAATGCTGGAAAAAAATAAAGAAAAAAAAAAGAGTGCACAAGCATTGTGATAAAAATCCATTATTAAAAAAAACATATAAAAGTCTCTCACATTTCATTATAGTAGTGTTGTCTTCTAACAATATCAACCCAGACTGCATTTAAATTTTCATCCCATTATAAGTTATAAAAGTAGGCTTAGCCCTTAGCCCTAAAATACGGGTTTGTCAAACCGGAAGTAAACAAATTGCTTGACACCTTTGACATGCGTAGCAGCTAACAAACAATGAGAAACAAGTTCATTGAAGTGAGAACTTGGAGAAGTCGTTGATTGTAAGTAAACCATTAAGCTGATCATCAAAACTTTTCGTACCCCAGTTGTTTATCTAATTTTGAATTATTTAATCTACATCGGAGGGTGATGGTTGATTTTATTTACCATGTTTATTGTGTGTATTTGACGTCATCTACTGTCTGCTTAAGCTTATTCATTCCCGTTAAAGGCTTTCATTATGCCTATATCATGTAATATCTCTCCACAACCTCATTACCTTTGGCTCATGCCAAAGATTTTGTGTGTGTGTGTGTTCAAACTGTGAAAAAAGATCTTAACCTTAAATTGTTTTTCTTCAGCCCCCCCCCCCCCCAACAAACTCTCTCTCTCTCTCTCTCTTGGCAGTTCTTTGTGAAATAAGAGAATGTCTCCCCTAAAAGTGATACCTACCAAAGGCTCAAAAGAGCTTGTTTAATTGAACATTCTCCATCGGTTCATTGTCTGGCATCTGTGCTCTGTTGTCCTTTTCCACGTACATGTTCAATTTCATCAAAACTTAGAAAAGAAAGCATTCTTGAGGCTACTCAAATTTGCAAGAACTCCATAGTAAAAGCCAACTACTGCTTTCAGCAGTGAGCCAGCATGCTATAAATGAAATCATCTCAATATAAATCACTGAACTAGAAAAGACTAAAAATTATGTTAAAACTTCCATCATACAGGAACACACAGTATACTTATAGCAAACACCTTTATAATGAACTCTTGCTTATGTATCGGAAGTGGTTTCTATTCCTTGTAGTTCTAAAACTTTTCTGTACAGTGTTACTGTAGTTTCAAATTAAACAGGGCTTTCAATTGTCAGTTGTTCAAGGGCTGTTGAAAGACCCCATTCCCAATTCAAGAAGGTATCTTTCCCAATAGCTGTTTAATAACACCCCCCCCCCCCCCCCCCAAAAGAACTTATATTTGGATTTTCAATAACTCACTTAACTTGCTATTATTGCTCATATATATATGTAAATGTATCATAATTTCCCACCAAATTCTCTTATTCTCCTTATTTTATCAGTCGTGACCCCTGTTCCATAAAGTAGTGTGAGAGGCTAGTCAACATTCAAGTTCTAGTCTCATGGCTGGGGTGGGACCACAGTAGACACATGGTCATTGAGGCTAAAGTTGCTAAAATGATGGAATTTGAAAAGTTGATGGTTATTATAAGAAAGCTTAGATGACTCAGATGAGAATTGCCCTGGCTCTCTTTTTTTCTGAATCTCTATCTAAAATGGCATCAAACAATTGATTAAAAAATTATCCAAAGAGGGAATGTTCAAGTACATGTATATGGTATAAGTGCATAATTCTGAGCAACAAATATTTGTTGACTGTATTTGCTTTAAAAAATTGAAAAAATCTGTGCATTAGCCATCCTTTTTTAGATTTATTTGAAATGTGGGGTTTTACAGACATATAAATGCATCAACATATCATAGATATTTTAAGTTGGTTATAGATATTTAATACAAAATAATGTCATATAAATGAAAACATGCATCTTCAAATGATGATTGATTTATAATAAATGATGGCCATGATGACATTATTTTTATTGTTATTCAGTGACACATGTTTGTGGCATAATATTATTGTCAGTAGATAAGTGCCTGAGAAGGTGGGGAAGCAAATATCTAATTATCTATTAGCTGCTACTTATCACTATAAATGTTAAGGTGTGTGTGATTTGAAGTAGACATATATACATGTAAATGTTTCTTTTTTTTTTTTTAAATTGCATTGCTTAATCATATATATACCGTACCAGGCAATACAAAAATATTTGTGTCTGAAAACTAGGATTCTGAATTTCATGTTGTACAAAGCCATGTAAATTACAACTTGTTCGATTCTCCTCCCTTCCTTTTTAAAAAAAGTGTCTCACTCCAGCATTTTTTGTTTTGATTTAAAAATGTATGGAATAAAAAAAATGATTCTGCATACAAAAATAATCAGAATGCATACATGCCTTAGTATTGTAAAAAATAATTTTTTTGTAACTGATGCTGATGCTGTAACTGATGCTGAATAAAATGGTAAATAAATATAAATATATCAGCATTAAAAAATAAATTGAGCAATTTGCACAAGAGAAATGTGATAAATTTTTTTTTTTATAGAATTCATCTTCCCAATCCATATTAGGATGAAATCTAAAAATAAGTTTATCGGGTCAAATGAACACCTAGAAATTGAAAGTCCATAAGAGTACTTTTTGATCATTTGATTGTTTCATAATAAATATTCAATTAAGAAATTCTGGAAAGAGTAGGCATCTCAGAAATCATTTTGAAAGAGATTCACAAAACAAATATATTGGGTAGTACATCCAAACACTAATAGAGACTTTAATTTAAAAAAAAAAAGGAAATGGAAAAAAGCAAGCAAAAATCCAGGCCTATAAATTTTGATCCATGATAGAGTTGTCACCTTCATGGAAAATAATGAGATATATATTACAAAGTGTATCATATTACAAGAAAGCCCATGTAATTTGTTTTGTACCAGGTAGATAATGTTAAATAGATTGATAGACAAGGCAATTTACCATAAAATGTTTTTTTCCTTTTTTGTAAGTAAGTGATAAACTAATTAAACAGTGCAACCAAAGTAGAAATAGAGTGCTGGTAAATTGCAAGGGGGGTGGGGTGGGGGGGGGTGGGGGGCTTAATATACAAGCCAGTTGTTGATAGAAGAAACTTTTTGGACTTTCTCTGTATGAAATCTTGGGAAAAAAAAAAGAAATGACTGCCCTTAGGCTGGGGTGTAGTGATTAAATATTTCACTCTGCTGTACATATATGTTTGACTCATTCACAACATGAGTTTTTTGCAAAGATTTCTTTTTTAATCCTTATTTTTTAGTATAATGAAGAAAAGCTGTGTCAGATTATTTGTGATATCTGTGGCATCTCTTTACCATGTCTATGCAGGAAATCAAGGGCAAGTGAAAGGTAAGAAATGACAGTTATCTAGAAAAAGGGGATCCCATTACTTGTACCATCTTTGCCATGGTATTGTTAATGGGTACTAAAACTATAATTCAATAAAAAGTGAAACAGAATTATTTGTTGTTATTTTATAAATCATGGCTTTCAAAAAGGTTAGAAGCAGGTGATACTTTTATAAAAATAGGAGGTACCTTGTGGAAGCAATTTTTAATCAAATGTGTCTTTTAAAAATTTTCTCCATTGAATGTTTTGGCCAGTACAATCATGATTTAAGCCAGGTAAAAGTACCAGGTACTGGCAGATTTTGAAAGACCTGTATAAATAATACTACACTTATTTTATTCATGTAAAATTAAGCATGGGTATACTAGAAGATAACATTTTTAGGTTACAGAACACTAAACCAGTTTCAATAAAATTTAGTACAAAGCGTCCCTGAGTGAGAGATCCTTAGTTTGTTTATATGATGGAGGATGAATTATAAACAAGTGTGGAGAATTTTAATTTAAAGATTTAATTATATGTTATTCAAGGAACACCAAGGTTAAAAAAAAAAAACAACAAAGTCTACATTCAAAACATAGTCTACATTCAAGTCAACTCCTGGATCCAAGATTTATTGTAAAAAAAAATTTGAAGAATTGGGAATCTGTAGGATGTAGGATAGAAATTTGATATCCCCCCATTGATCTTTTAAATTGTTTATTTGTTATCTACCATAATTTCAGAAAACCACGCAGAAAATAATTGTGGAGAATTTCCTAAAATCTCAAATGGTCAAGTAAAACATAAAGGAATCTATGCCAGAGTAAGTTGTAAAGAAGGCTTCTTTCTGAAGGGAGATGATACTTTCAAATGTGACCATCACACAGGGTATTGGAGTCCCCCAACAAGTCCTGAGTGTCTGCCAATAAAAGGTATGTTTTTTGGTTTTATTTGGGTCACCAAGTCCTTAATTTACATGTGTGGGTTTAATGAATATGTGGCCTCTAGTTATTTATAATTTATGTATTTATTGCACTTTGCATGTTTCCAAGGCCCCCTTTCATTTAGGATTGTATTTACGTTGTTATATTATCTTGTGTTATCGTTTTCAATTAAAAACTAGAGTATGAGAATTTTTTTCAATGAAAATGTTTACAATGAGCTAATAAGATTTTTTCCTTAGTCTCTAGATATTTTATTTCAGAAAGCTGTAGGTTGCCATTACTTGATCATGGGATGATCGAGAGATCTGAGGGATCCAAAGATGGAGTATTGTATTGTAGTAATGGATATTATATCAAGCGGGATGAGGGATCGTATGAAAGTGTAATTTCTGTGCACTGTTATGACGATACTTGGTACTTCAGTCTGTTTCCTTCCATAGAACGAGTGAGAGATTGTGAAGAAGGTAGATATCAAAGTGAATTTGTTACAAATCCACATTTAGCTATGTGTTGAAAGTAAAATTTAGTGTTTGGTATTTTTTTTTAAACAGTAAAAAAAAAAAAAATCAAATAACAAAAAAAAAAAAAAATAAGAGAATGGTGACTGCAATGAAAATAAGTGGTTTTAAGAAAAGTACCTTTTTTCCTTAGAATTATCATAATTTTTTTTTTATATTACTTGCACAGAGCTAACTATATCATACATGTACTGTGGCATATAAGAATATATTTTTCTTCTATTAGTTCCCAAGAATCAATGCAGCAAACCGCAAGATGTACTCCATGCCAAATGGGTAATTGAATCAGAAAGTCTATTTCACCGGCCAACATATATGGATGTTTTTACGAAAGGCATGAAGGTCCATTATTATTGTGTGGACGGGTACAGTTTGATTGGAGAATCTACAGTTGTGTGTCAGGAAGGAGGGTACTGGACTGAACCTCCAGAATGTGTGGAAAGCTCAGGTACTCATATCTGTCAATTTTTCTGTGTTGCCTGCAAAGGACACACAATCCCATCCCATTGTTGCACATGCAATATAAAAAAAGGGGTTGTTAAAATTATTTATTTGAATTACGTCACATTGTCCATTGTTTAGGAATCCTTTTAAAATTATAAAGGTGGATGTATATTAATGTGACATAGAACCAATAATGAACAATAACGAAAATAACATTTATCATGTTTTCAATATGAAATATATATCAGAAAGATTGAGCATTTAATTTGTAGAAAAGTTGAATGTTATATAAAATTAGATCTTTTTATAACAATTGCAGATTGACACTTTGTATTACAGGACCTTCCAAGGTGTGCCAAGTTCCCATTATTCTCAATGGTGAATGTAAATGTTGGACCTCCACATCAAGCACCTGTACCCAAGTGTATAATTTAAACAGGGTGGCATGTACCTGTGCTTCCGGATACCAGTCAGTGGGAGAGGAAGTTCTTACCTGCAAGGATGGCAAATGGGATCACTATACGCCATCTTGTATATGTAAGGGATAATACAGTAAAACGTATCTAATCTGACCTGTGTACAATTGTTTCAATGTGAATTCAAACCTCTTTTATCATTCCCAGTTTACCATTTTTTGTGTTCTTTACATTGTGCAATACAACACACCATATCTCTTCTGAGACAAAGTTTGTGTCCTAGTGCTTGTTGGATTAAACATGTTTGAAAAATTTATATTCTAAAGCTAATTTTAGGAAATATTGAGAACAATTGCCTCTGAAAATTGTAGTTGCAGCAAGTTTCATGAAAAATAATTTCCTCGTACATGTCATTAAAGAAGGTATATTTTTTTCCCTGAATAATTTCTTTTTTTGGTGAGAACTTGTTTTTTATTTTCCAATTAATTTATTTTTAAATTTTTTTCTTATCTAGCAATATCACCAACTGAAATATCAGTGGGAGATACTACAGAAGACAACAGTCATATGAACACTCTAGCTGTTGTGATTGCTACAGCCTGCAGTGTGTTGGGACTTCTTTTAATGGTGATGGTCATAGTCATACTTCGTCGCAAAAAGCCATCCCACCATCACCACCAGCGCTTGTATGATCAGAGTACCATGCCACCACCATATGGTCGAGTGTATCCCATAGACGAGCACGACCGAGTAGCTTTAATAGGCTATGATTCGGCCAGGTTACCAACCTATGAAGAAGCCACAAGAGACACTGCCTCACAACAAGTGGCCAATCCAAGATCAGCTCAGGAATTTAGGCCGCTACCAAATATTCCATTCCAGTTACGTAGCCCAGCTCTTCCTAGTATTGATAGTACTAGCAGACATTCCGTCACCACCACTACTACTGGGAATGCTGAGGTGTTTGGTTCAATAGATACAGTTAATTTTAGCATGAGTGATGCTTCTACAGCAGGAACGGTTGACACCATAGACAGTCGTGCCAGCCGCCCCTCTCATGGTTCTCGCACTGCTACAGCTGGTAGTCTGGAATCTTCTAGGGAAAATCTCTCTTCAGATGGTAAATTTTCTAAATTCAAAGTATTGCTTTATACCAACTTAAATTAATGCTTATGTTCTACTTTATAAGAAAATTTGAATGTAAAATTTGAACAAAGTCTTGAACTATAGGTTTTTCCACATTTCTTGTAGATGCACCATTATTGGAAAACAACACTTTAGAATTAAACTCAGAGACTCAAGATGAAGTTATAGAAGAGGAAAATAAAGAGCCCTAGGGCAGCCTTGATATTGGTGGAAGTGACCTCCCTACACATATTCACGGAAGCTGGATCTGACATGGGATAGTGCATCATATTACTTCAATCATAGGCATTTGTTGCTTCTTTTTTTTTTTATACATGATATTCCTATAGTTTCATGTGATAATAATTATAGACTGTGTGTGTTGTGAAAACGTATGTTATTTAGTAAATGTAAAGGAATGAGTTACTTTTTTTTCATCGTAGATTTTTAAAATTTGTTGCAGATTGGTGCTTTTTTTATCAAAAATTTTTATCTTTTATACATGTAATTTTTGTTCCATTTGTGATGAATGAAACATTGCAAAATGTCTCATTTCACTCACATACATAGCTATGCTATTCTTCTTAAATTAGGGATGACAGAAAAATACCAGATATCTTGTTAACCAAATACATGGTCAAAAAATGCAAAGCAGTCCAAAAAATTGAAACCTGTAAATTTTTGTACATATAAATTTTATGAAATATGTAAATAAAAAGAATTCATATAAAGAATATTCAAAGGTTCAGAATTTTCATTCAAAGTAAATGATTAATTCAACGTGCTAATATTTGATGTCTTACAATGAATGAAATTTGAATTAGAAATCAATTTAATATAAAATACACCAGTTTATACACATATGAATAACTGGTTAATCAGTTGAAAAAGTTACAATTAATTTTATTAATTGCCATCCCTATCCTGAATTATAGTATCTTGTGAAATATATTTCTATATATATATAGGGGCAATATTAATCAGGGAAAGATTTTTTTTTCAAATTACATAAAGTCATTCATCTATATTCAAACTTGAATTGTACTTCTCATATATTATTTATGTGTACCTGAAGAAGGGAAAAAAAGTTATCTTCATGAAACATGCTAAAAAAAACTTGTATGGCACCTTTGTCAGAAACTGTAGTCTAACATTTCCTCCCATGCTTCTCCTAATATACACCCTTGTGACTTTTTATTGGACAGAAAATTGCAAAAGCTTTTCATAGTCTTAAAGTATTGAGTGCATTTTCTAAAGTTAGCAACTTTGGACCAAAAAAAAAAAGACAAAAGACAAAATATATTGACCTACAAATGCTTTAAAAATGAAGAGGATTGCCATTAAGGAAAGTGTTCCATGTTATCTGTTGCTTACCATTAAACATCATTTATCAAACAATCATTGTGCATGAATTGATGTAAATAAGAATTTTATAAATTAAGTGCTGAGTATTTTTCACATTAAAGGAAAAGTGCTTTGAAATGAAATTTAACCAGCATGAATTTTATGGAAGACACTGTTATGAAAAATATTGATTTCCTAATTTGATGCTGAAGCAAGTTTATACAAGTTCTTATGTGATGTTTTTATCTGCCAAAACTAATCAAATTAGCCAAGGTGAATTTCATGATTATTGACTTTCTTGTATCATGTAAATCTTTTGTTGCAAAGCTTCCAAATCTCGAGTCAGATCTTCAACTTTCCCAAAAAATTACCGAATATGATCTGTAAGCAAGGATCTGTATGTTTGATATGATCTCAATTCTATTCTGAATTTTTTTTTTGAAAATGTTGAATTTCAAAATACACTTGCATCCTTGTTTTGGTCAATAAATGTTTGTACATGTACATGTGTATCTTTTTCTTGTAATATCCAGTCAAGTCTGAGAGAGCCTGCCTTCAGCATCTTAGCTTCAACTTTACAAAGCAGGTCCATTACCTAATACTCAACCGCAACAAAATTTGAATGCCACATTTTTAGCTACAGAGTTTTGATTTTATTTATGTTTCAAAGATGATGACTAAGTCAATTCTTTGAGCTGGTCAGTTTTATGTACCTGGTATTTGTATGGCTTAATATCAAATGACACTACCCCATTACCTTTGGATGCTTCATTTCTTCATGACATGATTTACAGGATATTGTGAGGATTTTTGCATTTCTAAGAAAACAAGAGGCCTAAGGGCCTTAACGGTCACCTGAGTATGATACAACCCAATAAAGGATCCATAGATGAGTAATTTAATATATGGTAATGCAAACTTAATTGATTGATATTCTGCAACAAGTTTGAAAGATTTATTTACTTGTCTATATGCCAGTGCTAACTGAATTCCCGTTTGATATTAGTATTGCTATTCTTAAGTTCAATATAGTGCTTCAAATTATCAAATGAATAAATTTATTTTCATAAATACACTTTTCAGTTTTTAGATGGTCTAATAGGAATGACTTTTCTTTAATACATGTGCGTAAATGTGTGTAATTTATTAACCAACGTACTGTACAGCGAGATTAGAAAACCCCCCTTGAAAAACAACAATGGGTGTTCACATGTATCCATCACTATATTGTTCCTCTTAAAAAATTGCAAAAGTTTAATTTCAGGATATGTCTTTTCTTCTGAAACATCCAATTCAAAATATAAAAAAGGTGATCAAAATTGAACTTGATGAATGAAATACTTTTCCAGTTAGGCCAAAATAAAATTATTGCTTGTTTGGAATTGCCTCCTGCCTATAATAATAAGTGGTGGATTTCAGCAAAATTGGTCATGTTTGATGGGAGATACCCTTTACAAAAAGGCAGAAAATGATGAGTTCACTGCTTATTGTTACTGTTTTTATCAACAATTTTTCATTAAACTCAATTCTGAAAAAAAAGAAATTTCCCTCCCTCCCTCCTGGGTCTGAAACCTCCCAGGCGGCAATTACAAACAAACAACTTTTTATGGATGGCCTTAGATATATTGCTAGAGTTTTATCTCTCTTTTAAGTATATTTGGGAAAAAAAGAATATTAGAATCATAAATTCGATCATGTGTCAACTCAATGAATGAATATTTGAATATATTCGTTGACATCCGTACTGTAAACCCATCTTTAAGATGCCCACTGCAGGTCAAATAAGTCACCCTTTCCACTAAGTATCTTGTAGTATTCAGCAATAAAAGTGATTGATTTTTTTTTTTTATTTAAAGTTGACATAATTTAGAATAAATAATTTCATGGTATAATATCATTTGATAAGTTGTTTTCATTCATCAATGTCCATCTCATTAACATATTTCACAGATTGTCTTGGTGGAGGAAGATCTTCAAGATCAGATGGAGGGGGAGGAAACTCTTCCTCAACATCAGGGGGAGGTAACTCTTCCTCATCGTCAAAGGACTCTGTGACAGATATATTGTCTATACTTCCTACTGGAGGGAGGTTCTGTAGACTGGCTAATTTTGTCATTGGAGCAGCTAAAACAGAAATGTGTCTTGCTGATTTTATCAATGTCAAAATTTCATCAAATCTAAACATGATCAACTCATTTCTCCATAAACATGTTTCTTCCATAATTTAATATTACTTGTCCTTGAAGAATCTGATAATTGAGTGATAATTATGAATCATTATATAATTTTCACTTCTTACGAGGTGGTCCATCCGGTAATAATTTCTGCTTGTCATCATCCTCCACTGAAATAGTAAAAATAAGAAATATTTTAAAATTCCACGTAAACCCCCCCCCCTTCCCCACCCCATACTTACTTCTTAACATGAACTGTGATCATGGATTGAGTTATTAGTTCCATTACATCTTGTGTTAGATTGAGATATAATAAATAAGCATATGACAATAACAATGACACATCTGAGAAAGATAGAGGTTCTAATTACCAGTATATTTGAATATTTACATTTCCAATGTCTTTGTCTGAGATAAAATTACAAATTGTAAAAATACTTTATTTCTACATAAATCTACTGGTTCATCGAAAGGCGTGGTTAAAAAAAAATCACGTGCGGGGTGGGACAAATAGAGACGGAAGCGGGGCTATTAGCACGGGAATTTGCAGAATCAGGAGCATGTAAATATAAGGAATAACTGTCAGATTTTTTGGATTCATGACGATGATCAATCGATTGGCTTGCGTGATAATTTTATGCATAAACACCTTCGGCGTTTATGCAAATTATCACGCAAGCCACTCAATTGATCACATCATGAATCCAAAAAATTCCTTAGATAAGAATCTCTTTAATAAGTGAATTAATCCTATTTGTATTAAAACACATTGATATGGTGTAATTGGTATTTATTTATTACAAGCCTTACTTGAGACAAGGAAACGGTAATTAATGTACCTGATAGAATGGACAAAAAAATTGACCACCTGATTTACTAACCTAACTTTTGACTCAGATCTTATTTGTAATATCAGTGCCAATCTTTCACCAAAGGACATACATTATATGGATGAAATGCAAAATGATGTCCTTAACCATTAAGTAAACGTAAAACTTGTTTGAACATTTTTAATGTCATATTGCACGTACATCCTCTCATTACACTCTTGGTGAAGAGCTTGTGTTATAGGGTGCTTGGAGAAAGAAACACAGGTTTGTTTTAACCTTTATCTGAAAATGTTTGTCAAGGTCACACATCCTTTACCCAAGAATTACTGTTTACGCTATTGAAGTAAATACTTAATTAATCCAAAGAGCCAGATTATGTTAAGTTGACACTTCTTTTTCCATCACATCCTTGCTTTAAAAAATTCGGACATATTATTCTCATCCATAAGATTCTTTCATTCTTGGATATGTATATATTTGTATTATGATATATCAAAGACTAATTATACAACAATTACCACATTTATTTGTGAATTTGGTGATCTACAGTGGTTGGGACTTCCAACTCACTTCAACATATCCATAGTATCTGAGATTTTAATGTTTGAGATTGCAAAGTTTAACTGTATTTATTTACATATACATATGTATTTAGTCATTTTCCTCATTTCACAGGGGTACTTATCATTTTTTAAATGTATATATAGTTATATACTCAGTTAAAGTTAAATGTATTTAATAATTTGCCTCTTATGGGATTATAAACACTTGTTTATAGTATATATGCAATATTTTAAGGCTCTTAAAGTGTCATTGATTTAATTTCTTGAAGAAACAAAATTCATCATTAGTTTACCTTTGCCTTGTGCTTTACCACCACCAAATGGAATAAGAAAACCCTTTGAATCTTCATCATCAATTAAGTTAGCAAGGCCTGTTTGTAATAGCCTTGTTTCTAATCCTATCATCAGCTGGTATAAATAAATAAATAATGGATGAAAACTGAATGTGATTTGTAAATAATAGAAAATAAAGTCATCCTTATTTGGGATTTCCTAAAAATTGGACCAATACAAACAAGAGAGGCCCATGAGCCACAATGCTCACCAGAATTACATTTTAATTCCTAAAAAATGTGTAAATGTAAATGAAACCTCTTACTGTTTGTCTGACTTCAATAAAGACAATGGCTTCATTAATATTTATATACACAATACATGTATATATGCTATAAAATATGAGAAATTCAAAACAAGTAATGAGCAAAAATTTACCTCTAAGAATGCCAGTATGACAACAACAGCCCCTGCAGTCTTTAACATGTGATTATATGATGTCATCAATGCATCACTACATCCTTGTGTGTACAATGTTATGTCTTTGGTGTATTCATACTTGTAGTGTTTTGCTTGTACTCTGGTGTCTATGCAGGGTCTACGGGCTCTGTAGTTACAGCAGCTAAACGGAACATGGTCGGTAAACTTTCTGTATAAAATTAATATATTGTGTAGTGATGTATACTTCAATAATCTGAAATTATACAACTAAACATAATTTTAAAAAGTCCAGTTTGTTTAATATTATACAAATTATACAGTTACATGTAATTATATATTTTCCCTTTGATTTGATCTTTACAAATAGAAACTCACTATTACTATTAATCACTCTATTATAGTTGCGTTATCTGTGGAAATTCCATAAGAAAAAATATAGGCCCATGTGCTACAATACACATCTCAGTCACTTCTAACAAATTTGAGTAATAAAATTCAAAGGCATGTCAACATTCAAAGTCAAGAAATAAGTGGCCCTTTCTGGATTCCAAAGATATTACTAGTTTCTTGCACAAAGCTTTTAGAAGAATAAACAGTACTTACTTGTATGTATGTTGTTCATCTTTTGTCATATATTCATCGGTTATATATTTCTTTGATACAAATTTGACATGGAACCAATCTGTGTATCCTTCTGAACCACAGCACTCATACTGAATCTGTAACTTATCAATGATGCTTTTCTTTGGCATGTCTGTAGCGTACTTTTTCATGGAAACATATATTCCTTTGCTAAATAATTTACGAAGTGAAGCAACGTTTGCAAAACAAAGCATGGATGCCACAAAAATGCACACAAATAAAATAAAAGAAAGAAAGAAAACTGGAATTAGAAATTTTTTCCAGACATCTCTTCTCGCCATGTCATGCACAACCCAACAAACTCGTGATGCTAAGATATTAACAATCAGTCCAACAAGACCCAAAATAATCATGTAGGCAGGTAACGCGTCCCGACTTCCTTCAATAAGACTAACTTTGTCTTGAACTGCAAGTTCGATATAAACAGCTATTGTAAGCATAAACAAATTAAATGGGATGGTGACTAGGCACATAACACTGGCTACTTTTGAAATTAAACATCTTGTTTTTTCCGTGAGATTAATTTCTGGCACTCCCATTCTTGGTTTTATTAACCGGAAGTTATTCAAATATACGTCATTTCCTAACGTCACAATACTGATGACAATATGGCGCTAAACTTCGATCGAATACCAGTATTTTTTATTGTGTTGTATCTTGATATGTGGTTTACTTTTCTGACATTGTTAAGTAGATTCTCATGTGGTTTTTTGTTCACTTTTTGTTAGATGTAGCATTCTAAGAGTTTAAAAACGGGCGCCAGTACAAAGTCTACTGAACTCTTTTCTGTTGGAGGTAAAATTTTCAAACGATGACATGGAAGGCAGACTACTACTCGTGTTTACATGTCTTGTTTCGTGTTTATTTGCAAATAATGTGTACGATACAGAAAAATTCCAAGTGGAAAATGAAGATGGGACTACTCAGATATTCGAAGTTAAACGCTTAGAGCCCGTGAGTGGCGAATCGTGCGCCATTTGCTCACAGAACACCGTGAACTCGTCTCCTCGGCTAGCCCCTATTCGTTCGAATGTTTTCATTGCGGTTGGGGAGGTGGCAACAGATTGCGGTAAAAGTTTTTACTTTTTGTAGTTTATTCATGCTTGATAAATACTATTGATAAACTTTGTTGTTATCATGAGTTAATGCAAAGATGCAAATGCGGTGCACCAGTTTAAGGTACACAATTTCTGCAGGATTTGTACCCAGGGGGATTCGAACCCCCACATATACTGGCAAAATATGTAAATATATAAATGGTACAAATCATTCATTATGTGGATAGGATTACTTTGGGAGATGTGTATGTACGTTGATCCTGCATTTTAAAAAAAACTGTACATAATGCTGTATTTGGTATATCAGTTATTTATTTAGTTTGTGAGACATAAAACATTTTATATTAACATTGCTATAGTAAAATTGATGCCTTAAACCCCTGCCTAATCTGTTTCAAAGTGAAACCTACACTTATAGTTAGGGTGAAAAATTATCAGTGTTATTGTAATCACATTTTTATTTGTGAAAACTAAATTTTATGTGTATTAATTACGGTATGGAGAATGCATAAAAAATGTGCCACATAATCAATAGAAAATAATGCAGTTGTTTATTAATTCAAAGGTGTGAAAAATAAGCGATTTACAGTACATGGGACCAAGTCATAAGAATAGATTCACAATAATTTAGTACAGGGCTAGTTTCAGGTTTTGAGTCCAATTTGGCCAACATCATCTTTTAGGGAAAGTAACATTATATATAAATTTGTATGAGCCAAATATGGTATTTATACATTTATGTGGATTGATGCATATTAATGATTATTCCAGATGTCTAATATCTTGTATGTATATATAAGTATGTTATTACTGTGTACTATTTTTTTTTTCTTGCAGAGGAGAACTCAGCCAAGCTTCCTACAGGTCTGTGCTCAAATGCTAAGGACCGAGGTCACTGCTCCAGGGACACACTTTCTTGTGAGCATTCACCTGAGGTTGGTATTCATTAATATATATGTATATGTTTACCTCATACTGCTATGTAACTGTGACTTAGGTCCTGTATGCACAAACACTTGTTACCTGAACTAATTTTAACACTGTCAATAAAAGTTATGTACTAGAATTAACTTTCAGATATCTATCAGGGAAATTTGTTAGACATAGTTTTGATTATTTTCATAGATGAAGGTCCTTATTACAGTTTTTTAAAGAGTGTGTTACCTCCTTTTTCCATATAAATTAATACTTGTTTTATAAAATTTAAAACCAATGCATAAAATTTTAGGATTTAGCTGAAGATCTTGCAGCAACTGAGTTGGTCCCAATGCAAACAAAAAATTACGATATTGATTCAAAGTTAGGTAAGTTTTCTCTCCCTTAGTATGGCTATCTCCTTAGAATGAATACAGTTGTGTCATTTATGATGAATATAAATTTACATTTCACTTTTGGAGTGCATGCAGTTTCCCTTTCATTTCAGCTCTTGGATTTGTGTCAATAAATATTGGGAATCTTGATGATGCTATGCAAATATTCAACAGTATCCTCTCAGTATGTATGATAAATGGATACTTATGAATTGAATTAAAAATGCAGGTTTATTTTTCAATGAATTTTAAAAATCAATACAGTGTTGTAAGTTTTGTATTCAGATCATGGTTTATACATACATATGATTCTTGAAAAAAATAAAGACCTTAGTGAGTCAACAGCCCATTCAGTAATTCATTTGTGTGTGTACTGTTCAGTGAATTTGAAAGAATTTTTTTCTTCTTTATTTTGGATGATGATATATGCATTTATTTCAATATATTTATATTTTCATTACTGGTAGAATTTTTTATTACATTGCACAGTAATTTTTTATTTGTCTATTTGATGAAGAATGGTAGTCGAAGAGTGTTATTTCTTACTATTTAATACTTGTTTATATCACTCATATTTCTACGAAAATTATATTCTAGTATCATCCGGATACTGTTGGTGCACATTATGGTCGGGGTATTGTATACCAGAGAATGGGAATTCAGGTAAGTTATCTTATGCTTGATACCATTACTTCCTCTCTTTAGTTTGGGTCTGATAATATAAAAAATCTGAAAGCTTGCATGTATGCAGAGATGCATGTGTTTGTCATCAATTTAACCATGAAGTAAATGACATTTGACAAACATTTAAATATTTTGATATATATGTCTTTCAAAAACTGGCACATGGTTAATAAGGATAGTTGGGTTTTTTTGCAGGAAATTGCAAATGCTGCCAAAAGTATTCGTGAATTTACTGAAGCCATAATGAAAGACAATAGCTACCATGAAATTTATGAAAGAAGAGCAGAGGTTTGTGTAGCATCATTTCCTTATTTGTTTTGGTGATCATGTGACTGCAACCCTGAAAGTAATGGTATATTACAAACTGTTCAACTTAAAAAAAGAATGCCCGAGAAAGCACTCTCAAACACAAATTTGTGTTTTTATTATTACTGTATATACAATATATTATCACACAGGTTATTCATTGTGGTGTTATATAAAAGATCATACTCTATATAAACTTTAATCTCTATTTATCTTCATATCTATTTCCACTGAATACAGAAGATTTTTCTTATTTTATGGTATTGTGAACACTTTCTTAAATTGAATTTTTTAATTCAGTCCTACATAGCTATTCAACATTTTGAAGATGCTTTGAAAGATCTTAATATGGCTGCCAAATCAAGTCCTTCTAAGCGGCTATTTTTTATTCGAGGCATTGTTCATCTTTTGTTGGAGGTATGAAATATTGATCTAAGAAGGTGCTTATCATTTCAATATTTTAGTTTTATTTCTAATTTTTTGATCCATTTTGATATTAGAAGGTTCTTGTCATGTCAATGTTTTAGTACTATTTCTACATTTTTAAACCAGCTTCATAAGCAGTACCTATGTGTCTTAAAATTTCAATATGCTGTGCATGTATGACTAAATAACTACCGGGGTATAATTCATTACAGACAATGAGTTTTAAGCACATGATGATCATATTGTAGAACTTTGCTGAGGCAGAGGAAGATTTCAGGAAAAATTTAGACCCAGAGAATTCTTTGTATGTGGGCTCCAACTTTCATCTTGGTTTGGCTCTTTATTATCAAGGAAAAGTTAGAGTAAGTTAGACCAAAACAAAAAAAAAAATACAGAATTGAATAATTCAGTGAAACCTGTCTAATTTGACATGCACTGGGAGACAAAATTTGTGTCAGAATATACAGGGTGTCGGATTGCATGGTGTAAAGAACATAGAAAATGGGAATCAAAATAAGGGTCAGAATTCACAGTGAAAAGGATTGTCCAGGTATCGGATTAGACAGTTTTTACTATATGAAATATGGAGATAACAAACAGTATTCAAGCTCAAAGTCCATTCAGACAATACAAATCGGGAGCAGAGCAAACACGGACCTCTAAAAACATCAGAGGTGGGATCAGGTGCCATGGAGGAGTGAGCATCCCCTGCAGACCGGTCACACCCACCATGTGCTCCTTGTCATGATTGGTAAAACAGAAAAATCTGTAGACAATTCAGTTTGTAAATAATGGCCAGACAATTAGTATGAAAAATGTCAGTCAGCATTTGACTTAATGATAGGTTGTATTGGCTGACAAGGTCATTGTATCGACCATAAAACTTGTGAAATGATGACTTCAAACGAGACTGTTGATATCCTTGTATGTGTAAGACAGGAATTTTACACTTAGAGGTCAAAGTTTTAATGGTGAAATTTGCTGGAGAGTTTTCATTAAGATCAGCACATGATATAGTTTTTGAAGATAAAAAAAGATGGATTAATCAGATATGCATGTTTTCTTTTCAGAATGCTATTGAAGTGTTTAAAGATGTTTTAAAATTAAAGCCAGATCATGTAGAAGCATCAACTAGCTTAGGCCAAGCATTCAGGTATCATTAGATTTCTGTGAATTATGATAATGAAAAATGTGAATACCTGTCTTTTCAATGTATGGATGTAACAGTTTTACTCACTATGGTTCCTTTTATGGATTTCACTTAAACTTACTTCTTTGTTTAGGAAGAGTAAAATCAACCTTTTTAATCTTACTAATGTCACCGGGCTCACAGGTGCGTGAAAGTCAGTCAATATATCGGGTCTCTATAGCTCAGTGATTAGAGCATTGGCACAGTATGCCAGAGGCCCTGGGTTCGAGTCCCGGTTGAGACTTGATTTTTCACCACCTGTGACACTAACACAGGTAATAAAATCAACTTCCAAGAGAGGGAAAAGGGGAGGGGGTGGTAATATTGTTTTACATGTGTACAATGCAGGGATTTTCTTTTTTTCTTCAGAGAATTAGGAAATTTAAAGCCAGCTTGGAAGAGATTTAATCAGTCCATTCACATGAACCCTAACCACGCTCAGACTTGGCAGTTATGGGGGAGCATGCTGTATACTATTGGGGAACACAGAGCTGCCAAACTTAATTTTGATGTAAGTATCTATATAGTACCAAATAGCATACTACATGTATATATGTAAACACTGACCT